GAAATCTGGAGCCCAGGGAAAACTTCCAGATGAGGACGTCCGTCGGTTCAGGTCAGGTATGGACTGTTATGGTTCCCTCCCTCTATTTCTTGACTCTCTGGTCTTCTCCTGCAGTCGCTCTGCCAGCCATCGGTCCCTCTGAGGTTGCAAGGGAGTACTGGTCACTCTGAGAGCAGACCTGAGATGAAAACTAATGATACACAAGCATCAATAAGCCATGTAGCATATAGATTTATTAACTTTTTAAAGGGGAGATCTAAGAGTGGATCATCCTTCCCTTTGTTTTGCTATTTGACTCTGAACCAGGATTTAATTAAACTGCTAAACAATTTAGGAAAGAACAGCTAGAAAGTGTTTTCAGGGTAAGACACTGTTTGAAAACCTTTTTTTTTTAATTCAGGTTATTTCTTACTGACACCATGATAAATTACTTGTGACAAACAACAAAAGAATAAAGAATCTTCAATCTTTTCATTTTTAATAGAAAGTCATTGCACAAACTAAAAAATGTCATGAACTCATTTGTCTTGTAGGACAATCCAATGCAAAAATCTTTGGTATAAATCTAATCATAGCATTACTGTACAATTAAAAGGTCATTCAACCCCACTACTTGAATGAAATATGCTTAATTTGTGCTTAACTAACAGATTTTGTCTTAATAATTAAATCCAGCTTAACATTAAATAAGCAGATTAAATGTAACTAAGTGTAGAAGTGTAATTTGCTCATACCCCAAAAGACTTTTTGTACACCACAATAGAAAGAACTTTAATACAATACTGTTTATTACTGCTGGCAGGGACATATTAAACAGTTTTTGAGTATAGCATAGAAATCCAAAATAGTTAAACATGTCTTTTTTAATTTTCATGAAAAATATCTTTTGGGAGTTCATTTTTACTTTAACAATAAGCAGGTTTGTATAAATACAATATATTTCAATTTTGTTTCATGAAAAAAAATACAGCAGTACATAATGAATGTTAAAGTTAACAGCTAAATTATTATCAGATACACAATATGTGAATATAGACTGCAGAGTGTGTGAGAACAGCAATAGCAAGAAACCAAAAATACATGCTAAATTTAACTCTTTTTAAACTTAGAGTATGAAACAATAAGACTCATCTACTGTGTATTTAAACTTCAACTGTTGGTTTCAATTTTACATTAAATTATAATTATGTTATATAGTTTGACAACAGCAGTTCTAGTAATTTGCCAGAAGGGAAAATAATCTTTTATTCAGAATGTATATAAATTACAGAAATCCAAAATATGAAGTTATAACACTAATGTTTTATTTAAATTCTTTTCCGTTTCCACCTAGACTCATACTGAGTTAAATCTTTACAATGTTTATACATTCATAATGTAACTTTTATAAATCAATAAACTGAAGCATTAAGGACTCAGGGTTGAAGGGCCCTGTCATCTCAGGCATCCACTGTGACAGTGGGGCCGTTGCTGGTTTCCTCCTGTGGTTTGGTGTCTGTGGGGGAGCTGCTCTCTATGGCATGCTCTTCTTCCTCCTTTGGTTTCTCGCTGTCAGCCACCAGAGGAGTGGTCTCTGTCTCCGCCTGTCGGTCGCTGCTGGTAGTGCTGGCTGGCTCCTCAACCGTCTCAGCTGGTTGCTTTTCTGCTGCTGCTTCTTTGGTTTCATTGACAATCTGAACGCTGTCGGTGGCTGCAGCCTTTACTGCTTTCACTTCTCCGTTCTGGACTGGGAAGGCGCCCTCTAGGGCTTTGTAGAGGAACTGATACTGCTCCTGTGAGTGAAATAGATTAAAGAAACAGGAAAAATTGATGCTGCTGAAGCTTTTATTGGAGAATAACCGTATCACTCTGTATTGTGCAATTTTAGCAAAAAGCTTCATGCATAGAGTCACAAATTGGCAGATTATATTGTACATGTTCATTATTTTATTTTTCTTCTAATGTAGTAAACAACCAAAATGTCTTTATTACCAAAACATTTTATGCATGAGAATGTTCTGTTGTAATAATAAAGTGCATTTAAAGCTAAACCTCACCTTTAGACTCACAGAGTAGGAAAAAGTCAGAGAGTACCGGTAGTTGCTAAATACTAGACGTTATCTGTGTTAAATTACTAATAGGTTTTCATGAAAAAATGAATTTCCTTATGTTTTCAGATCTATAGTTTTTTGTGAAATCCTTTTAGGCTTTTAACATGAACATGAAGAAAACTAACATGTAGTCATACAAGTTTCCTGCCTAAAAACTGCATTAATAAACATTTAAATGAACAAATATTAGAGTAGTATTATCAGAGCATACTGTTATTTATTTTCATATTATTTTTGTTTATTTATTTTATTAATTTATTTTTTCTTATCACTAATACTATTGACAGTTGTTGTGGTAGCAACAGTAGTTGCATGATTACTATGTGCATATTTGTTTTTACCTTAATTATGATTGATGTTTTATAATTAATAAGCCTGAACTACAAATATTTTTATGAGTATTTTAATATAATTTGCAATTTGTCTGAAATGTGTGTGTGTTGTTTTATTACCGAGCTGAGGATCATCCCCTTCCTCTCCTTGCGTAGAGTTTTGACCACTTGGAAAACATCAACCAGGTTCTCAGTCTCTGCACTGTCCAGCAGGTTCCACAGGGCACAGAAAATTCCTGAACGGGTCGATCCGTCACTGAAGCACACAAACAAACAGAACTTAAAATAAAGCATCAGGTTTGTTTTTTTATTACTCATCTGGTTTTAAATTACTTAAAATCTTGTGATGTCCCACTTTTATTTAGACCTTTAAATATTTCAGAATGCATGTGTTTATGTTTGTGATCAACTCAGACTTACATTTAATGGCTCTGAAATGTACACGATACAATAATAAGTCTAATAAGTTTGCCTTTTAACTCTCCTGTGAAATTCCTAATTATGCAGTACCTTGCAGACATTTCAAAACTACCTTATAATTTCCTTTAAAGGAGAATATTTCTTTATCTTTTAAAGTAGTATCATCAGATATTATCCTCAAGGTCTTTGAAAATATCTTATTTTGGTGCTTTTTTCTCAGTTTTATGCTTTTGGATTTTTTTAAAGTTAGTTACAAGGAAAACAATGTTAAGGCCAAGTGAGTGAGTCTGTGTTTGACTGCAGATGTAGTTGAATTTTACATCAGTATTTTAGCTTCCCTTACATCCATCCCATGTGTAGCATTAATTGAAGTCAGGCCTTAGTGCCAACCATGTGAGCTTGGGTAAAATACAGTAAACGCAGATAGACTTTCCAAGTTTATGTGGTACATCCGGCTTTTTTAACATTTACATTACATTCACTACAATTACATCACTACAGCACAGAACATCCTCAAAGTGATACAAGTTGTGACAGTCACCATGTTTACCGCTGTTGTAGTAAATATTAGCACCACATGAGGGCCCTTCTTTAGTTTGCAATGTTATATGTGACTGTTAGAGCAGCAGAGGGGTCTGGATCTGGCTGTGTAAATGGATTACTTAACAAGTGGCAGAGTTAACAAAGTTAAAAGATATAACAAATTGGAACCATAGTGTAGTAATATAAAACGAGCTAAAATGTACTGACATATACAAATATATAATTACAATATAATATATAAACAATAAAGGGGTTAGAGTTTGAATTATGTGCCTATAAGATTAACCTAAGTATGACAATAAAATGAAAAACTATTAGTATAATAGCTAGTAAAAACTAAATCTAAGCCTAATTAGAATAATAACTAGTTAAAACAATCAAACCCTCCCCCCTTAAAGTCACAAATACATTACACAAATTTGGGAAGAAAAATCCCAATCTGTCGTAAACTTGATACAGATTATAATCTGAATATTCATGTATGACGCTAAACTGCCTTTGAGATCTGGTATTGTATGGTTTCTAAATTTTTAACATGCGGAAAACAGTCATTTATTCCTCTGTAGCACGTGTTCCCTGCTCTTGCTAGCGTTCCTCCTACATACTCCCACCACCAATTGCACAACTGCATGGTGTCATAGTGAAAAGTAATGTGGGCATTATTAAACAATACAAATTAACACTGAATCAGAAATTAAAATGTGTAATCTGAAAGCTACCATTTATCAGTGTATAAATATCAGTTGTTCAGCTGAGCTTGAGCAACTCATTTATCCCGATGGTGGTGAAGTACGGGAGGATCTCTGGCAGCTTTCAAATGACTCTTTAGTGTTGGTCTGTAAGGTCTCTAAGCTGCTGCTCTCTACAACCGTTATCTTATCTTATCTTTATCCTCCTCATTAAGCAAATCTTTTTCTTATGACCTCAAATTTAACTACCAGAGTAATTTAAAATCAGGTTGGCATTTTTTTATGCATTAATTTCTACATTTTGAGTTTTCAGCCTTGCACTAGCTTTTTTTACTTTCATATTTTTACATATTTTCAGACATGGAAATAAAAAACATTTTACAGTAGAAAAGGGAAAGCTATGTATGATATGTGTCCTTTTAATTGAAGCTTACAGTGGGTCTAAGTAAAGATTAGAAAGCATGTATGAGATGAAAGTTTACTATGCTTGTTTTTTATTATCTATGTGTTACTTGCTAAACAATGACGGGTTCTGTGAGTTTACATACTTGCAGTGGACGACGATCGGCATCCTCTGTTTTTTGCTGCCCACACAGCTGCGTTTAACCTCCTTAATCATATCTATGAGTTCCTGAGGTTTCTCTGGCAGATCTGTGCCCTCCCATTTTAGGAACTGGAAGTGTTTCACCAGCCGACTCTCTTTTCGCTGTTGACAGAGTCGTTTAGTTTTGAGTAAGCCATCATAAAATGTCAAACTGTCATAGATATGTTGATATAGATGGCGATAGATGTTACCTTGACATATCGGACCAGCATGTTGCGGGTGATGAAATTCGGAGTCATTTCTATATTTGAAACTTCTACCTCATAGTCTCCGAATGTCTTCTTTTCTTTACTCCAGTAAATTGCTTCGTCGTCCTGTCATCAAATGGAGATAAAGTAAAAATTAAAGTTTACCCTAAAACCTTACGTATCTTTGTAAGGATGCAGGTGTATAGTTCTCACCTCTTTGTGCTCTGAAAGCATGACTATAGTAGATAATTTCTTCTGGCAAACCATTGACCAAAAGTCAGCAAAGGTGTCTGGCAATGGATCCTGAGCTGTGATTAGCGAACGTGGTCCCCAGTAGCCCTACAGAAACATGCACTCTTTATTTAAAACAGCTATTTTACAGGAAATATAATATTCATCTGCTGTTTGTTGAAAGGAAACAGTCATTTGGTGTGGAATGCATTCATAAATAAAATAACCCAATAAGGTGAAAAGAGTAGCATACATTAATGTGGGAGGCATTGATGTATTTAGTGGAATCTTCATCGTCTTCATCTGATGATTCATCCTCCTCTTCATCATCAGCTTCGCTGTCCTGACTGACGTCTTCCTCCACCTTCACTAACACTCGGTTGAAATCATCTAAAAATGGATTTTTAGAAGACAATTTGTAGAAAGAAATGCGTTGGAGCGTATCAGTAAATCTGATTACCATGAAAAGATTTTTTTTTCATATGAATTTATTCGGGAAGTGAAACTCCTACATATTGATTTGTTTGACACAGAGTAAGCAGCCTTCAGCTAAGGCATGGTTTATTATACCCTTACCAACACTCCATAGGTTCTCCATAGGGTTTTGGGGCCACTTTGTGGACCAATCAGCACAGAATTTACATGGTCATTAGTGCAGGTATTGGTACTAATGTCTATGTTGCAAGGAGCAAAATCATGATGAAACACCTGAGACTCTACATAAAGCTTGTTAGCAGGTAATATGATGTGGTCTATAATGTCCTAGTAGACGCTGCGCTGACTTTGGACATGACACCAAAGCTCCCTCCCTGATTTTGGACACTTCTTACTGAACCTAATGCAGCTTGGATCTCTGCCTCTCAGCTTTTTTTTCCTAAACTCAGAAACTTTAATATCCAGGAAAACAGGACTTCGGACAACAAGGCAAGATTCTATTCCTTTGCTTAAGTCGTCTCTTCTAGTGCTGTCTCTGGTTAAGGAATGAACCTGTGTTTTTTATATGTCTGTTTTAGCTTCCTCTTTAAATAACTTTTACCACCCGTACTTCCTTTACTCAGATCCCCATTAACATCTTTGCTTCTTTGCTACTAGCTTTTTGTCACTTCCTGTAGAGAATGACATTGAATGTCTGTTCGACCATTGTTAAGTCAGCATTCTCCCCCAAAAAATATCAAAAAGCTTTTTTTTTATGTGATAATACAATGTCAGAGAAAAACATTTTTTAATTTCCATCAACTGTCAGCCATATTAATCAAAATTAAAACAAGAAAATTGTCATTCAGTGTGCTTTGTTTCAATGTAATATATAGGTTTGCATTCTGAATCAAATGACTTTCATATTGTCATGCGATCATATTCATATCTAATATTCGGTTGTAGGAGCTACTCACATGGGACAATAGACGAAGAGCGGTTCTTCTTCTTGTTTTCTTCTGTGATCCCTGTGTTAAAGGTCCTCCAGTTTTTAAAGGAGGGGAGTCGCTGAAATGTAAAAAAGGACTTTAATATGAAAACTTAAGAACTTTAGACCCATATGTTTTCCATTTATAGTAGTTTCTAATTCTGAATGAGAAGACTAATGTTGACACTTTCAGTAATGACAAGAGATGTTTAACCTTTTTTTTTTAACATTTTATTAAAGTATCTCTTGCTGATGCTGCCTGGTTGCACATCCTGACTAAAGTTCACTTGCATGAAATTGGTTAAATAAGTTTATTTAATTATTTTCAAATTAACATGTTTTATAAAACAAACTCACCTCAAACTCTTCTTCCATTAGGGTGGGCTCACTGTCGGAGGTTTTCTGTTTGAGCGTGCTCAGTGTGCTGTGCAGCTCTGACAGAGTGATCTCTGTCTCTCCAAACTGGTTGTGCTCCAGCAGGGCCTGATGGATCAGGATGTACTGGGCCTGCATGATGGTACAATAATTTACATAAGCGCCCGGACAACTACAAAAAAAACTTTTATTTTTTTTTTATCTGTGATCAGACTGAATGCATAAAGATGTAAACTAGTGGGTTTTCGCGGTGCGTTGGTTTCACTTTAAACACTCAATCAAACCTGAAAATGGCTGACTCATACTTGGAAGACCAGTGATAATTTAATTTCTTCATAAAATTTACATATTAGGTCAGGTGATGATGGAGGAGATGGCAGGTGCAGTGTCTTAAAAAGTTATTTATACCCGTTGAACTTTTTTGCATTTAATCACGTGTTTCATAGAAGATCCTGATGACGTGGCAGTTAGGGAACATAGGAAAGGTTTCATGCTGTCTTCCAGTTGGAATATATGTGCACGCTTCATAAATATTTCATTGGGATTTCATGAGATAAAGTACGATAAAGTGATGCATTTGTATTCCATGCTGAGTCAATTAGAAAACATTTTAAGCTCTAATTATGCCTGTGAGTCTTTTTGCTTCTGTCTCGCTCAGCTGCAGAGATCCAGACAAGCAGATCTTTATCATTCTATGAAAAAAAAAAACAGCTCAAACTCAGTTAGATTAAAATAATAAAATTTGTAAAGATCGGTTGTTAAGTCTTTCCACAGAGTAATCAATTAGATTTAAAACTAGACCTTCAAGCTACATGATTGGAGTCGCTCTGCAGGAAAAAGAAGCTACTGTCAATGTTAAATCTTTTTCACGCACTAACGGTTTTTATTTTTTCTTCAAAAGATTGTAATAATTTGGGTTTGGCCTTAACTTGACAAACTTGTTTTTTTCAGCCTTTATCTGATAGCAGATGAAAGCAAAGGGTAGAGATATGTGTTTCAGATTTGTTAGTTATGTAATTAGCATAGTTAAATAAGGAGAAATGCTTCATTAACAGATTAAAAAATGGCAGCTGTATGCAGTTAGTTTGGGGATGTACAGGAAAGAAGTTGGAAAGACTAAAACAAAGGAGCTTGATGAGGATATGTGGCTGCACTTTGCAGCTGCTCACAACTCATCGAAATGTCTTTAAATACAGTTTCCACAATCAAACAGTTATATCAAACATACATTTTTAAAATGTATGTTTTTTCCTTTAATTGTTGGATTTTTTTAGATTTTACTTCCAAATAGAAAACAACTTCTTTGTTAAATAAAAGCATGTTTAAGTTTTAATCGTCCATAAGTATGTATAACTTGGGTCTTACAGTAGCTTTAGCCACTTTGGCACCAACTTTTAGCTTTGCTCTCATGATGAGCAACCCGTCCGTATAAAAAGAATAAACTACTCAAAATAGATAACTCCTAAAGATAATGTTTTGCTCTTGATTTGTTCTACAGAAACAAAAACAAGAGAGTACTTATACCACAGTTTTCCGATTCCTTTTTGCAAAAGAAAGCATTGTACAGTCAAAGGTGTAGTTATAAAGTGATTAAATGTGCAATCATAGAACTAATACTATTCAGGGAACTATACATGGAATTAATAGTCTAGTAATGAGACATTTTATGCAAAATGTTTTCCTTGCACCAGTCTTCCATTGTAAAGGAAATATCGGTAACCATTTAGCAACTGCTCTGGTCTGAGTGAAGGTTACAATTTCTGACCAAATCTGTTATCATGTCTCATGGTTATTTAATACATATACATTATAAAGTGTTATTTAAGTTTTTCCTGAGTGAACACCTCTCAGGAAATGAAACCCAAGAGAGAAAGCTTAAAGGTGTAAACACAGAGCTTTTATTGTAAGCAAGAAGGTTCTGGGTTCGATTCCTAGCCTGTATGGAGTTTGCATGTTCTCCTCATGCATGAGTGGGTTCTCTCCGGGTACTCTGGCTTCCTCCCACTGTCCAAAAACATGTTAGGTTGAATGTCTTCTCCTAATGCTCCTTAGGTGTGAGTGTCTACATGAATGGTTGTTTGTCCTATTTGTCTCTGTTTTGCCTTGTGATAGACTGATGACCTGTCCAGGGTGTATTCCACCTATAACCCGTTGACAGCAGGAAATGTCCACGGGTGCCAACGTCCCTCGTGACACCAGTAGCTATGAGCTTGACAGGAAATGGATGGATGATTGAAGCCCAGCCCTTCCATCTATTCTCGTTTAAAAAAAATTCATGCCCCAGGCTATATTGTACCATTTACTGATCCTACCTCCACTTGAACCATGAGGCATCTCTGTCTTCGGAGCTTGACAACATATCCATAAATGTCCACTCTGCCCTCCGCCTCCAGACCCTCCATCATGGCATCGATGCCGATATAAGTTCCGGTTCTGCCGACTCCAGCACTACACAAAACAGATGGTTATTTGTCTGCTTATTTTTGCCTCATTTTAGATATCCTGGTTTGTGTAAAGGTGCTCTGGAGAATTTTTAAATGAAGGAGAGTGGAAATTAAATATCAGACCCATTTTTTACTGTTAACAGTATCACCATTATATGGCCTTGTGAGACCAGCAGAGTTTAGCAATAATTGAATCAGGTGGTAAAGAGAAAAAAATGGTGTAAATGATGGGATTTGTTTGAAACAACGAAAAGTCTTAAATGGCCATTTATCTGGCTGTTTTAACATGCCTGCAGTGAACAACGATGGGGCCGCTGAAGAAATTCTTGAAAGCATTGACACGCCGCCTCAGTTTCAGCAGGAGGTGTGGCTCTCCTGGGACGCCGTGGTCAGGCCAGCTCATGAATTGAATGTGAGTCACTTCTCTCTCAGAGTTCTTCTCTCTCTTCTGCAGGTCGTCACACACAGACATAGACTCAAATCTCAAACATAAACTGCGGTATGAATACCTTTACACATCGCATTCATGGCCTCTACTGAATTTCTACTGTATCAAATAATCATGGAGCCTAAACAAAGACTTACATTAGTCAGGGTCAGATGGCGGATGGTGTAATCTGGGCAGATGTCCTCTGAGGATAGCTTCACAATGAATTCCTCGTAGATCTCAGTCTCTCGATCAGGCGAAGGCCAGTACTGGGCACATTTGATCTGCAAAATGGCAGGTTAGAGAATTTAGACTGAAAAAAAAATATATTTAATAGATGGATTATTCAAATAAATAAAAACATCTTGCAGAAATAGAACATAATTTAGCTTAAAAAAGATCAAGAACACCTTTACAGAATCTGATTAGAACAATTTGTTATGATGGCCTAAAGCTTGGTTAAATAGTGAATTCAGATTAAGGTTCTCACCCGGCTCCCTTCTTCACAGCGAGTCACCATGACAATAATGGAGGACTGCTGCTCCCAGACCATCCTCCAGAAATCGCTCACAGTTTCATCTTTCGGTCCTGCAAAACAAACATAACACATGTTACTGCGTGTCGACATTTTTTGGCTAAGAAAAAAGGTAAGTGTTACTGTACCTTGAGCTGCAATATATTTTTTGGGTTCCTTGAACCCCTGCAGAAAAAAAAAAAAAAAAAAGGATATTACCTGTTTGAATATCAAAAAAAGGTTGTTTCAAGATGTGTGTGGTTTTATCATTAAGCACAAATTGGATCATACTTCTCTAAGGTTTATATTCTTAATTATTTTCAGCCAACAAGTTTGTGTCTGATACAAAGAGAGAAAGCTGTTTTTTTTAAAAGTTAATCAAACAAAGATTAATTTGATTATAACTGCTTTTAAATTTGATTAAGATAAAAATCATTTAAAATTATTTAAACACCTCTCTCCTTAGTCTACAGAAAAGTCTTTACCGTTATTACAGCAATCAAAGCATCTTTATGATTGCTGCTCAACTTTTTGCATAATTCCGAATGTGGTGTTAACGTTCATCTTTGAGGGCTGATGTCCAATTCTTTGAGGCTGGATGACCTCCTTACCACCACCCTAACTTAGTTAATTAAAACTTTTATATTACTTCCCTTTAGTAGAAACATGCTAGTGAAATTGAGAACTTGAATCAAAATGTATCAGGCTTAAGAATATATTTGGACTGAACAGTGTTTAAAGGTTAAACATACATCAATAAAGCTGGCATTAATATAGTCACATCCTGCTTCTCCATTTCCTGTGGCCAGTTGGACGCGGTTGTAATCATCTAAATGAGAGCACACAAAAAAAAAGAATAAATAAATGCATAAATCAGTAGATTTTATTCAACTGCAAGTTAAGAAAAGATAGTTAACAGACATCTCTACATGCAATCTTTACAGAAAATACCAAGCTTTATATTTAGAACAAAGGCTTTGAAAAATTATTCTTAAAACCGATTTTAGAAGAAGTGACATAAAAGTTATTCAATAATTAATGACAAAAAAACTCCCTAATACCTCTTTAAATCTCAGATCAGATTTTCTTTTTTTCATGTCACACTGAGTGCAGTGCATAGAGAGAGACTTGTGCTACATATAGGGTAACAGATCCCAATCTGTGCAGATTTGTTTTCACTTCTGTCTCTGTGCCCCGAAAATTTAAACAATTTTCCACAACTGACTGAGACAGATTATTATAAGTAAAAAAAGATTTGCTTTGCCATACTGTACCTTGTTTTTTTTTTTTTTTCCAAGGCTCAAAGAATATCTTCTGATCTCCTATTATGGGTAAAGTAGGCTATTCTGTTTTTTAAAATTGTTTAATTGATTATTCCCGAGTCTGCCTGCCTGCTATATATGTGCAGTTTGACTCCAAACCTGACTGTTTTCTCTTGTGATTAACACATTTTATTTTGTAATTCCCCCAAAGCGAATATGTTTTATTTGTAACCACGACTCTCTTCCTGTCAGACCCATGAAATTATCGCTGGATTACTGTCTGACTAAAATAGACCTGGGTTCTATCTCAGTTGGAGCTACACAAGGCCGCTTGCAGAATATCGTGTCAGGTGTGTTCATTTTCACCGACTTTCGTTTTAGAAAAATATTCTGTTGGATTGCACAAAATCCGATTCAGTGTTGAAGCATTTTAAAGTCTATTACTAGAGAGACAGGGAGCCAGTGTTAGAGTTTTAGAACTGCGCCTATGTGCTCTATTTTCTCTGTGTGAGGACAAGGGCAGCAGTATTCTGGATCAAATGTAGCTTTCTGACCAACTTTTTAGATAGACACTGTTGCAGAAATCAATTCTTCTAAAGCAAAACGTATGAAATCTCTTTTCTAGATCCTCCTAAGACATTATTCCCTTAATTCTAGAGATGTTTATTTGAACAGTTTTTTTTATACCTCTGTGAAGGCTCAGGTCTGAGTCCATCATTACATGCAGATTTTGAACACGATCAGTGGTTTTTAGCTGTATTAACTAAAGCTGTGTTCTAACTAGATCTGCAACGAACGATTATTTAGCAATTTCATTATTCTAATGATAATTTTTTTGGATTAATCGATTATTAATTGGATAGCAATAGGTTCCTCAATGAAGATTTTTTACGAAATTAAACCAGGTAAAACTAAGACTTTTCCACTTAAAGAGTTCTGGACAGAGCATATTGATAGACGAAAACTTTTTTTTAAATCTTAAATGCAAAATGTTTATATATACATTTTTTTATTACAATTTTGTTATATTTACTGGTCTACGTGGGTTGCTTTGTCGGCTGAAGACTATTATACTATTAAATATTTTAAAGTCTCTACACTGTAATTAACGATTAACTGATTACTAAATTAGTTGACGATTATTTCAATAATCCATTATCACTGTTAATCTGATTAATCCGATTCATCTTATTAATTGTTTCAACCTTAGTGCTAACCAATAAAGGCTTTTCCTTTAGTCCCAAAATGATTAGTCCAGTTCTGTTCATCTAAAGAAAATGTTGTCACCTCTAAGTGTCTATCTCTTCTATACATTTACCCAATGTTTGAATGGGTTCATAGTCACCAGGTATGAACCCAGTTATCAACAGCTGTTTTGTAACCGTTGTTTTGGAACCACAGGAGAAAAGTCCTGACAAAAGGGACATGTTTATTATTGGAATTTAATGGTACGTTATCACAAGCAGAGCTTTCTTAAGGAAGATAAAACATCATAAAACATTAAGGCGGGTAAAACATCAAGACAACAGGAGGAAGATCTTAATTGGTGTTTTTCTGCTAAGTTTTCTGGGTTTAATAGGGTTAAAATTAGGGAGCTCTGTCAAAATCACTTTTAGTTGAAGACAACCTTTACTAAGACTTGACACGGATGTACAGACTGCTCTTTTACTTTAATGGGTTTATTGGTGAAGAAGTTAGCAAATCTGTTGCACAGACTGGTAGAGTGGAATTCAGATACTATGGTCAAATGGTTTCTTAACCTGTTGACCAAGGCAAAAAGACAATCAGTGTTCAACACTCCCTTTTTCCACCTCTGAGTGGTGGAACATTTTCAATTTATACTATAAGTTTGAGCTTGTTGTCAAGGCTCAGATCCCAACCCGTCATGACCACACTGCTAAACAATGCCTGGAGTTATGAGCAGTTATGAGAATATCTCTAACAGCCTGAAAATCTCTCTGCATTAAAGGAGATGAGGAGAGCGTCTCTGACTAATAATATAAAGGTCAAAATTTTGGAATATTGTTAACTGAAAAATATTTAACAGAACGCCCAAACTTTAAGAGTACCCTTAATGTTTTTTTTAAGAGTTTGAGAAGAATCATGTGTGAAGTAACACTACTGGTGTTGTCTTATTTCTCTTACTCACATGGAAGGATGTCTACGTAGCGGTTTTTAGGGGTATTACAGGCCTTCTTTGCTTCTTTCACTGTGTATCTTGAGAAGATTCTGGGAATACTCTGAAGAAAGCAAGACAAAACAACTTTCAAAAAAAAACAACAACAAACAAACTACTCAATGCTTTAAAATGTACACTTTATTCATTAAATGAGTAAATAATATAGAAACCATAGAAATAACATTGAAAAAGAAAGATCACCTGAAATTCACCCAGAAAAAGCCTTCCTTCATCGGCCAGTTTCCTTTTATAGGTTTCCAGCAACAGCTCCGCTGCAATCGGCTCCACAGGCATCAGACTTTCTTCATCATCTATGAAAGAAAACATGAGACGACATAAGCATTAACATACAAAACGTTAACACACAAGTCAGGAACTTACAGTAGATACCATTTGTACATTTTGCAATAATGCTACTCTATAGATAGCTTTAATAAACCATATGTAACATTATTAGTTTTTAGCAAAGAGGTGGACAAACTTATAAATTCATCAAATGTAACGTTTTTGAACTCATAGACTCTCATAGAGCATTCATTGCAAAATGGTCATTAAGTAAGTAGAAAGAAAAACAAAGATAGTGACCTTTTTTGTAAAAAGTAACTTGCCTCATCATTATGCCTCTGCGTTTCAACATTCTCCATCCCAATACATAACCAATCTATAATTTGCTTTTCTATCATAAGCCACAAGAGTACTTGATGGTTCACCTGATCTCCTTCATGTTTTCCTTTTATTCTAATGAAAAAATCTCTTTAAATTCTTTATACTACAACAAGACAAATAATAGTTCTTATGAACAAAGGCAATACTTACTACCTTTGGTAATTAGCTCCAACCTTTCAGTCAGATCACTGCAAAAAAAAGAGTTAAATGTTTCAAAGAAATTTTAAATATAATAAATTATGATTGGAGTAAAAAAGACTGAACAGGAATATTTTGCACAATTTGTCTAAATTAAATCATTTGTATTATTTTTCAACTGTTAATTATATAATTAATAATTATAACAACTCATCAACAAAAGAAGAAAAGTAGTTTGCTGTATAAACACATAGAAAAGTTACTTAAACAGCCTGTTTAAAAATACAAACCACAGTCATAACCAATCAAGTGCAGAAGTCCCCTGACTATTGGAAAAAATTAAACGAAAACGTGCTTACTGGGACTTTCTACGTTTAAGAACGTAGATCTTATAGAGGACAAGAAGGAGAGCCACGGAGGTGATGATGATGAGAAAGACCAGGAATCCAATAAGAGCTTTGTCATTATCTGAAAAAGCACAATGAAAGTTGTAGCATTTCTAGTACAATGTGTAGAAATTCATCTGGTTGGTATAAATAGATAGAAATAAGTGTTATAAATAAAGAGACACCTACAGAGAGTTGTAGCATCTATTTCCTCATACTCGCTCTTATGCTTTCCATTGTAAGTTTGAACCTTTAATGACAAAATGTTTCTAATTAGGATCCACAGCATTCAAGAAAGGTTACAGGGAAGCAATAAATATTTTTTCCCATGAAATCAGCTCAGGTTTATACAAACCTTTATTCTGTAGGATGTTAGGTAGTTCAGATCTTCGAATTCAAATTCAGGGTTTTGTTGAGTCTTTTCGCTGCCAGGGACCCCAACAAGTTCTGCAATGTATTTTGGTTCTGGTCCTCTAAAATCCTTAGCTGAAAATTTAACTAAGATCTTATTGTTCTCTGGATATTCAATTTTCAGTACTTCAGGTTTATCAGGTACTGTAGGAGGAAGAGAAAAGACACAAATGAGTAAACGTAGATAAAATAATGGAAGCAAACTGAAACATGAAAAACTTTTTCAGATTTGTGATTTATAAACACTTGAACAAAAACTGATAATGTATTAGATTAGATGCATTATCTTCAGGAGGTTTTCTTTTGGAAATTTTGCCATTAATGTGTTTATTGTATGATCAGCAGGTCCCTCATTAAACAGGGAATTATTAAGAAGACTTACTATCACAATATTATCTTTTCTTTTTATGTATCAAACATATGCTATTTATTAGAATG